AATTCCAAATTACTATGGAGCTTCAAAGACACTCATCTTGGGTGGCACACAATTAAAAAGGTGCTTGTGGAAACTAATTTCTTGCCATAGGTGAACTGCCAATCATACTTAGAAAGCATTTTTCATTAAAAATGTTTTTCTGGCTCTCTGGGGAAAAAGTTACATTATTAGAAAAATAAAAGCAAAAGGTTTGATTCCAGAGGTTTTGATTGACTTAAACTGAAAATAGAAATAAATAAATAGGAGATCTAACACTCATACTGAAGGGGGCAGGCTCCAAAAAAACTTTAGTATGAATAGGTGTCCCCCAAGCCCTCGCAGATCACAGCTCAGCTGTGTCTGGGACAATACCTTTGAAGCATGCAGTAAACATGTTATACAGTAAAATAAAAGTAATTAAATAAAGGCCAAGATTCTCAGTTAACTTGAAACTTGATAGTTGACATGAGAAAGCTGCACGTGCCAAGGAAGAGCAGGAAATGAAGAAGGCTTTGCCATCAGTGTCAGAAAGGGTACGTGAGGGTGAGGAAGAATATTGCTTGAGAGATGAAAGGAGTCATTATGGATCAGAGGAGAAGGAAATGTTACCAACTAGGCTAATGCAAGGCCAGAGAAGGTTACAAACACAGGGGGACAATTCCAAACATGGTCTTGAAATGCAAGCAGGCTCCCCTGGACTGTCAGGAAGAGGGGAAGATCTGAGTAAATGATAAGTGATTTGGCAGACTGTAATGCAAGACCAGACTGGTACCTCAGACAAAACACTGTAGGATGTGTCATTATTAATTATCACAAAGAACATGTAAGCCATTCAATGAAAAACACTACCACAAAACTAAGATAAAATTAATTAATTCTCCACTTAGGGTTCAAACTGGTGATGTTCCTTGCTAGTGAAGTGGAACATTTAGGGTCCCTACCTTTTAAATGTCATTTTTACAAACACTGTGGGAAATTAGACTTCAGTCTCTGTGAGAACTGATAAGATTCCTTATCTTGCAAACAGTATGGAATACTTCCAGAAATATTTTAAAATTCTATTTTAAATGGAAAAACCTCAAGTGCTTTCATAAGACATTAGTGAACCACCAAAATGTTAGTCAGTCCCATCTAGCATTTCAGAACAATGCAATTATCTGAACATCAGTGTTTTTGTTAAGATACCTCTGTTAGAAATGTTGCCTAAACATTAGTTACTAATATTCTGAAATTCTAAGTAGAAATACAAGGTTTTCCAATTTGCCTTTCAACTATGCAGCAGTTATCTGTCTTGTCACAACACGAATCCCTTTTGGGTGAAAGCTGTTGATTTGAAGGTTAAAATCACCTTGCTAGGCCCTAATGTAATTTGTTGGAAGTTGGCCTTGGGAAACTTTCTGACACTGCCTACATATGCTCTTCGTTGGATATTCATTGAGCAATGATGTCTGAAGGGCTGAGCTCCTCACCTCCATGATCATTATTAGCTATGGCATTTCTTAACAGGCTCTGCCATGTCAGTTCTTTGCAACTCAGGTTTTACATTAGCAACCCACACTTTACAGCACCAAACAGACTCACTCTCCCACCACAGAAAATACTGTTCCAGGAGAGTACATGCCAGGTTACGCTCATAAACAGAATTTATTAGTAACCTACATATATGCCAATATTGAATAAATTATTTATTCTCTCTTTTAATCAAGTGAAATGAGGTGCACAGCATACATTTCAGGCAAGGCTAAATGAGAACTCCCTGACCTCATTAAGGAACTTGTGGATCTACTACAGAAATAATTCAAAGGAAAATGTTTGGAAGAAGAAACCACAAGATCCATGGCCAGTGGTCTGCTGATCAAATAAGATTGGGGAAAGAGGAGATAGCTAATGCCATTTCTGAGATATACAATACCACCACTTCAATCTTCTCATCCCTCAAGATGCATTTTCACAGGCTGTCAAACATAAAATCTTATGAGAATACTGATCCTCAGAAGATTTTAATCAGATGAACAAAATACATGATTCTGCCAAAACCATAGTTCACCTGATGCTTCATCTTGCTCAGCAATATTCTCACCAAGCTACTGTGCTCTGCAGGTCTACAGATGTTTTTACCAGATGCCCACAGACCTCCTTAGCTCCTCAGCTTTGAAGATGGCTTCTTCAAAACAGTGTCCAGCAAACTGCAATCATGTGATGATGAACTGAGAAGAGCCAAAATTTAGAAACCTTAAAAAAATCAGCCTATTTTTAGTTTTATCTTGACACAAATATTGGTATAATATATGTGAGGAATCTACCCATATAGAGCTCTGGATGACGTCCATAAATTTTAATTATATTGCCATTCTACATTATTTGTAGGAGCTTGAAACTTTCCTGGAAGTCTGAGTTTGAAATACATTATGCTTGAAGTGAGCCCTGTACACAGAAATATCTTGACAAATTAAATCTATCTGGGGCAAGATGGAGCACACTTAAAGGCTTGGGAATCAGCCAGAAGCACTGACTCATCTTCTTTTCAAGCAGTGCTGAGCTGAGGTTTGGGGATGGGCTAGCTCAGGAAATTTCATCAGATATTGACATATGACAATGGTTCACTTTATATATATATAGATATATATCTATATATCTATATCTATCTATCTATCTATCTATCTATCTATCTATAAGAAATAAATTGCAAAGGTGTCCAGTATAAGCTCAATAGTACTGGTTGCACCTTGCTGCTTAGGTTCTGTCTCCTTGTAAAAACCTGAAGTGGGTGTTCAAGAAGTTTGGGGAGAAGTGTGACCATTGGTGAACTGAGTGGCTGCCAAGTCCAGAGAGCAGGGACCAGCTGAAGAGATCTGGGTTTGGGAAGAGGTCAAGTGACACAGACTTGTTTGAAATTGCATTTTAAAACTTCTGGCTCTGGCATGATTTTTTTTCTCCCCCTGTCAAAGTATTAGAAAGATACAGCAATTTACATATAAAGCACTCATCATCTTTTGTTTTCATTGGGTCCACGAAGTTCATACCTCATGTCAACTTTTTTGCCAACAACCGTTTATGAAATAAAAACATCATTAGACGGGACGTTGCAATAAAGTACAACAAAACAAAACCTGTGGCTGAGATTTCACATGTTTAAGGTGAGACTGAATCTGCAGCGAAACAAACTCATGGGAGATTCCTGTTTATTTTCATACAAAATGAATTGGATGCAAATTCATTACTGTTTAGAGAATGAATCTCAGTGACAGTTTGTCCCTAGGGGCATTGAAAAGTACTTTAAATCATCCTGATAGTTAATTATTCAGCAAAAGTCTTTATCATATAAAATGACTTTAATAATTTATGCTAATGGAGCATTGCAGACGTAACTGTAGGACTGGTCTGGAGGAGGGGAAGACTTTGTGCCTGCACATTTACTGCTGAATTGTAGTTACACGTGTATGGCATTTGATATGCAAGGAAGGCATCTGTGATCACCTCTGTTCTTTTCCCTACCCCTCTTCCTGCATGTCCATCTACAATGATACAAAAGGCTCTCACTAAATTTACAAATAGCCCAGCTTCAGAAATCTACTAATCATGGTAGTTTGCAAGGAATTAAATGAAGATACAGATTAGAGTTTAAATTTTCTGGGTTAAGTGTCAAAGAAAAAATAATGATCAGATGCAAGTCCTGGGCATCTCAGTTATATTTGGTGCAGCACATAAGTACCTAAGAGGGAAGAGAAAAGAGGAGAGGAGAGGAGAGGAGAGGAGAGGAGAAGAGAAAAGAGAAGAGCACTTTAAAGTGCCCATTAAGGGATAACCTAAACAGGTCAGGAATTTTTTGAACTCGAGTGGTGGAAAGGCTTGCCCAAAAACTCAGTTATGGTGGAAAAATAGCTTTAAGTGACTTGAGCATGAAAATGAAAGACTGAAGAGAAGAGTTCAGAAGAGGCACCTCTTGATTCCTATTCTTCTGGAGAGGGAAGGAGGTGCTACTGTATTGCAGTAGCCTTGAAAGTCATGGATTTATACAATCTATAGAAATAGGCACATAAATGCATATATGGCCTCTGTATTTCTAGGTACAGGAGTGGCATTCCCTTGTATGCTCTGGGTAAGCAGGGAGATGTACAGCTCTAAAAGAATCCCAGGTTACCCAAGGTCTTAAAGGTTTTGTGACTGGCTCACAAAAAAGCCTTCTGAGCTTTAATCCTATTCTACTTCTTGGCGCTCAGTGCTTTCCTCTAATGATGCAGTAGAATAAGCAAAAACAGAACTGTGCAAATTTTATACAAACAATTTTAGGCTTTGTGGGTTTTCTTCCCTTTGTCTCCAGACACCTTCTTCTTGGTTCATGCTATAAGCCATGAAATCAGAATGGCCTCATGTACTTGCATCTCTTCATGTCAATTCAGAGGAAACACAAGGAGAAAGTGAATGAATTCTGAGTTCCCCTGCATGAAAAGTCATTTGTGTTTCAGCTGTTAATCTCACACTGCAACTTTAGCATTGCTATTCCTTATGGAATGGCAAGAATCCCACTTCATGCAAAGCTGCTGCTTTAAAGCCAGGATGTGAAGCTGTGCTCACATCAGTAAATGCTCCATTTGAGCGCTGCCAAAGTATCAATGCTGGATGTGGCTGCAGTGTGCACCAGCAAATATTTAGAGGTCAGTCAAATTGCCGTGCCTGGCCTTAAATGTTGATATGAACAAAGATTTTCATACTCAGTCCCTTACCTCTTGCACTCAGTTCAGTTTGTATAGCCTGAAATTTTCTATATAGCCACAGTATAAATCTTTTTGCTTCATAGCTATCCTCACACGGGTACTGCAAGGCAAAGCTGTGTGATTTTTATAAGCCTCCTTTAGTTAGGAATAAAAATAATGTTCTTTAGAAACAAATGAAAATCCGGTCTCACTTTCAAAGAAAACAATGCAATCAAAACAATAACCCCTCTACAAATATAACAACATGTTCTACAGGACAAGTATTGATTAAAACAAAAGGGCTTTTTAGACACCATTAATTCTTACCAATTCCAGTAGTTATTGATTCTGCATCAATGTCATTAGCCTTTCTCTTTGCCACTTCAGCTAGTGCCAATTCACCCTTATCTAGAGCAAGGTAATGGATGTCCTTTGGAAATAAAGAAGAAAAAAGATTAATCTAAAATGAATCTCAAAGGACCAACAAAAGGGATTTTGAAAGAAAGAGGTTCTTTTATTATTTAGATCACAAACACAGATGGAACTGATGAACCTACCATTACATTTTAATTCCCTCCAACGCAAATATATTTCCTTACTTGTGCTGTTGAATACAGCAATGAATAAAACACTGACCAATCAGGCACTGATAAAAGCAAAGCTATTGACTCAGTGTATGAAAGAAACCAATTTGTCGACTTTTAACATAACTTCTGTTGAATTAAAAGAATGTTGATAGGAGGTGGCTCTGTGTAAACCAGATCTGAAGTATTGGAAAACTCTTGGCCGACAGCCTCTATTTGGAGCATGCTAAATGCAGATGTGTTGCTTAGAGACCTGGGCTAGTGGTGGACCTGTTAGCAATGGGTTAACAGTTGGACTCAATGACCTTTGAGGAATTTTCTAACCATAATGATTTTATGATTTGAAGGTTTCCATCTTTTAAGGACTAATTTTTGTCTGAATGTTGTCATACACTCACTGTTGAAGGCTGTTACCCTCACTGTTCTGTGGGTAAGAGGGTGATGGTCCTCCCTGTGCTGACATTGGAAGCAATAAGAGCAACAGTGGCTGTTCAGTGGCTTTAACATCCACAGGGTTGGCATGATTCCTGAGTCACTCCTGAACAACAAGGGGCTTTCCAAAAATGATGTCTAGAATTTAGAATAGTTGTTAATACTCTGGATCTAGTCTTTTATATAGAGTCAAAAACAGAGGCTGCAGCAGGGGTGTTATTATTATACAGAATTATAGAATGGCTTAGGTTAGAAGAGATCAACTCATTCCAGCTCCCTGCCCTGGGCAGGGACAACCTGCCCTTCCACTAGACCAGTTGCTCCAAGCCCCATTCAACCTGGCCTAAAGCACTTCCAGGGATGGGGCAGCCACAGCTTCTCTGGGTGACTTCTGTTCCAGGGCCGCACCATCATCACAGGAAAGAATTTCTTCCAAATATCCAATCTAAACCTGCCCTCTGCCAATTTAAAGCCATTCCCCCTTGTCCCATCACTGCATGCCCTTATCAAAAGTCAAGGCTTTTTATTGCGTATTAATATTTGAGGTGAAAACTACCTGTACTACATACGGAGCTCTTAGTGGGAGAATATATTCCTGCAGACAAACTACTCTCTCGCTGCCCTTGGTTTTGGTCCTCAAAAAATAAAAATTTATTCTTGACCATTAATCAAGAGACAATTAATCCCCTCCTCTTCTGGCATCACAGACACGTGCTGCTCTGTGCATTAATTGTGACACAGAAAGTGAGAAAAATCCAACAACAGTTGCCAAAGTTTTTCCCCCACTACTTTGTTGAAGATGCCATTTGACATCCAAAGATTTGAGTTACTCCTTTGTTCTGGAAGCCATCTGCTTGCAGGAATTAAAAGAGAAAAGAAGTGTTTGCTGGAAATACTGACCTCTGCATGCCATAAAAGCAACAGTGTTCTCCCTAATGTGAAAGATATCAGGTGAAACCATTCTTCTTGATGTGAGTTTACTGCCATCTGCATCAATATCAACAGAAACTCTTACAGGAAAAGTGACTTTACTCTAGAAAGACATGTTTAGATGAAGAAAGTGAGAGTAATAGTGTTAGGAGAAAGACATGCTGCTTTCAGTAACCCCTCATTTAAAAACAAGAACAAGAATGTTAAAACAAAAGTGAAAATCTTAGAGAAACTGCGATGATTATGCAGGAAAGCCTGGAACTGACTTGCAGGATCTGCAGAGTCTGCAGGAGACAGCAGTGTCTTCTCATCACAAACACAGGTGTGACCAAAAAAATGTGCAAATGTCTTGGAGCAGAGTAATGGGTTATGAACCTGTGGTGAACTCTGTATTTCCTCTCTTTGTAGGTCTAACTTGGTTGTCAGGAGAAAAAGGCCTGAGCAGCAAGGTATGATTTCTATGAAGATTAAACAGCAGATACTGTCGCCTTATTTAGATAACAATAGAAGACCCAAGGGCTCTTGGACAAGTCTGAACTTACAGAGATTCAGATGTACAGGCAGACTTATTTAAAATACATTCTGACAATGTTTAATGATTGTTTTTTTGTAGCTTAAACTATGAGAAGTATTGTATACCTCTGTGCAATTTCAAATAGTAAGCTCGAGGATGGAGTGGAAACAACCGCAGAAAATGATGAAGTTTTGTCAGTGAAGAGCTTGTGCACTCTGTGTATTAAAGCAGCTGTTATTTCAGGTCTTGGTTTTTTCCATTTTCTGGTTTGAGTAAAAAAATGTAAAGGTGTTACATATCCATCATTAACTAACAAGGGCCTTGTAAGAAATAAAGGTTTGTAGTAGGTTGGCAAGTGGCTTTGCTGTTCCTCAAGTTGCTGGTAATGAAGAACAATAAAAAATAGCCTTTGCCTCATCTCTAAATCAGCTTTAGAGAGAAAAGATTACAGACATGAAATCTCCTAATTAGACCATTTCAGATCTAATTTAGGTGTTTCTCATTCAAATAAACCAGCATAAGTGATTTTTCTAAGAATTTATAACTCTCTGAGTAGATTAAACTAGAAAACTGAAAAACCAGAAAAGAAGCACCAGATTACAGGGTGCTTTAAAGAATGACAGGAAAAAAAGGAATTAAATTATCTGAATATTCATAACAGATTTTTTTCACACAATTACGTAAGAATTTATAAGTCCAAAGATCACATCTCTCTCAAACACAATGGTGACAATAAAAACAAATTCCAGCTGCTTATCAGGAGCTTGCTGAAAGGGTTTTATTTTATCATTTAACAGTTTGCTTACTTTTTGGACTACTTCCCTTTCCCCCTCACCTTTGTGACTCACAGAGCTGGCCGTTGGTGAGCAGAAGTCATTTGAAACACGATGTGCATTTGTCTATAGGATATTTCTGGGCAACACTCCAACATTTCTTCGAAGCATGCACTTTCCTCATCAGTGTATCACCTAAGATCTGACAGTTTTATTAAAGTGTCTTTTCCTTGCATTTTTTGCTACCTTTGGTACATGGGATAGCCTTTTGAATTTTCAGCAGCTGAGAGTTGGACTGCACTATAAAAGCATTTCAAGCTAACAACCTTTCCACTGCTTGATCTTTTCTGTCACAGATTGGATCAGTCACTGTCCAATACATGGAGCTGTTGTTCTTGATATTATGTCCTTTTCAGTTATTTTATTTTTCTTTTTGAACTTTGTAGGAGATGATATTAATTGATGGACTTGGATGTGACACAAGGGTAAAGCTCAGGGAGAGACACAGCAGTGTATGTGTCTTGCTATGGCATCATCTAGTGATGCTATAGCTATAGCTGTAAGCCTTTTTTGTTTTTTCTTTTTCATTTCTTTGAAAGAAATTAGCCCTCAGACAGCTCTCTCTCAAACTTCTTTGCAGTCTCAAAACAAATAATGGGAAGGCTGTAGAGCCCTGTTTGGTGAAATTGAAGCTCAGGGTAAATTCTCTAAGATATAGGACATTTTCTCAGAAGTCTCAGGTGATGGGTCAATGTCTGCATGCTCCTCAACCTCTGTTGTATCTATTCCTCTCTATCCTTTCCTTTTCGTTTCTTCTCTGCTCCCCTTTAATAAACAGATCTTTCTCTTTCTCATTTTGCTTATGTCATCAGGTAACTTTATTTAGACTACTATTTCTTCTTGAAATCTCATTAAATTAATTGGGAATAAGGTGACTCCAAGAGCTAGCTGAGGTTTTAAAAATGGATAAAACTGCTTTAAATATATGCAAAATCAATTTGTATATTAGTAATTGCATTTTGCCCTACATAAACAATATATAGGAATCATTCAATATTAAGCAGAAGTGAGGGATACACAATCCTTGCTTAGCAGTAGCATTGTTATACTAATACCTAGAAGGACTGTAAGGTTTCAGGGAACAGGTTATCTAATTTTCACATGGTATTAAGCACAATGAAGCCAAATTCCCTAGAAATTACCGTGACACAAATAAATACTCTTAATGACCTATGCATGTTTAAACTTCTTGAGTCCTGTACTTAGTGGACTTGTAGCAGTACCATGTTAGCTTATTGTAAAGTTTGTTCATTAGTGACTGACTTAGATGATGAATTAGCAAAATGACATTTCCCCAGAGGAGGCAGGGATGTGTGCTGCTTGTAGCATAATTTAGGGGCAACTATGAGGAATTTCAAAGGTAATGCAAGCAGAATGAGGACATTAAAGAGCTGGTTTTGATCCCACAATGACAAAAGCCAGGAGGAACCTTTCAGAAATATACATTTACATTTAAGGGCATTTGGTAGGATGGGAAATAAAGAGTAGGTGTTGAGAGAGGAAAGGAAAGGCAAAGAGTAGGAAAGGATGGAGTTAATTGCTTTGTGAACAGTGAAACTCCTCTTGAAGAAAGTTGGAGAGACTTTTTGTTGAGAGTAGAACGTGTTATCTATCACCTGTGGAGTCAGGTACTGACAGTCCCTCTTGTTAGCAGCTGTGCACCCATCTCAAGACCCAGCTGGTGTCTACCACCCTGATGTCTCCCACCGTGGCACAGAGGCACCCCCTCAATCCTGCTGTCAGCAGAGGGAAGGAAAGAGAAACAGATCACATAGAAAATGCTCTCAGTCATATGAGAGAAGGCCTTTAATGCAAATGCTGGGACATTTATTCTGTCAGAATGGCTAAAATTAGGGAATATTTATTATCTGTACACTGGGAGAGCCCTTGACAAAAAGCTTTAATCTGCTCCACACATGCTACAGTCTGAATCTTATATGTGGCTGCAGCAGTGCTTAGCATGATTAGGCAAAAAATTTGTATTGAAGAGGTTACATCCAATAAAGAGAGAAAAGGAAAGAGATGATCTAAAAAGACAGAAAATCAAGAGGAGTAAACATAGAACATGTAATGAATTTCCTAAAAGTCTGACATTTCCATCACATTCTTTTGATGCATACTTAGGAAAGTTTATCGCAGTATTCACATCTTTCTAATTAGATGGAACAAGCCAGATGATTAGAGCTGTGAAAAAAACATCAAAAGGTTCACACAACTTTTTATATAATTAGAAGGGAATTTTCATAACCCCTAAAAGCAGGATTTAATTGTGTAATTTAACATACAATTTAAATATCAAGATCAAACTAGCAGGGCAAGTGACTTAATGGGATAAATGATATTAACATCTAGTGTCAAAGCTTAATTTAAACAACAGAATGTCTTCATTATGCAAAAGAGTCAAGCAAACGAATCGTTCAAAGGGCCTTTTTTCAACAAGCCCTTTCCTATTGTTTCTTTGAAAACAATGAAATCAGCTGTGGAGCAGCAACATGCTGAGAGACTAGGAGAGCACGACTGGCTTTGTCCATCTGACCTCACTGTGACATTGTGGTGCAAGATCTTATAAAACAAGAACCTCCTGCAGTGCTCACACAGAGGACCTTTTAAGAGCTGGTTAATTTTACTTTTGTAGCTAATTAAATGGGAGGAGGCAGAGTGTGCATGAAATGTTAAAACTCTTGTGTTGATGCTGCTGAGCTTTGTTGTTTTAAAAGTACCAGCAGAAGCGTTCATAATTTGTCACTTTTCACAAAACAAGAAGAGACAAACTAAGAGCATTCAGGATCCCCAGGACATGGACAGCTCTTGTGACCAGGGCTCAGCAGTTGGACTTAAAGGAACAGATTAGAAATGTATAAGCTTATTAGAGTGAAAGATGACATTCACTCACATCAGGTCAGATGAAGAAAGGGAAAGTTTAAAAACATGTACAATAATTCCTGGAAAATTAAGAATAGCCTGTAGGCCCTGCTGGGGAAAATGTCAGTGACTCTGAAGATACTCAGTTCCTACTGATGAGTTTCATGATGTCAAAGGTAGAAAAGTTCTGTCTTCAGTATGTGTCCTAGGCTGCAAATGACCTGGAACTGTTGTAATGTGTGCAAAAGCTGACAAATAATATCCTCCAACAGACTCTGTCTCCAGAAACAACTCACCATGAACAGGTCCCGAGCACCGATGTCAACAGCAAGCAGAAATGCTTTTTCAAACCTCTGATACCTGAAAGAAAACAGAAACATGTCACTTGCTGAGGTTAACTTAAGAGCTGCATCAAATTTTGCTCATGGACAAAGTCCTTCAATGCTCACCAAAAGTGATGCCAAAGCTTTACTGGGGAAACCTGATAAGCTCATAGTCACATTGCAGAACTGTGAGTTAGGACAGTGACCACCCTTAATCTTCTTCATTGTTTAAAACCTTCACCAAGTGGTTCAGTGTTGAGTCCCATCAATCTGGTTGAATCAACATTGCACTGGCAAATGCTAATGCCAATGGAAAATTCTGCATTGGGCTAATGTCTCACTTATACTAGGCATAGATAACCATTATGTGACACTGTATTATGAGAAAGTGATTCTATCTGTACACATTTTCCTCTATTGCACATTTTTAACTGTTTAAAATTAGCTACGAAAATAGGCTTGGTGATTAGTTTTAGAAATGCAAATACCCCAATTTTCTTTCAGCTGGGAGGTAGAAGATTGATTCCATATAGAACAATTTTTTATTTGTCCCATTATGAAGTGGGAAAATTTCCCTTTCCATCTGTTAACAATTTCAACAATGGATTGTAGACACAGTTGTAGACACTTGAGGTTTGGAAGGAGATGACTTTTTTGCCCCAGTGGGGAAAAAAAAGCATTGTGATTTCTCAGGGTTAGAAAGATGTAGGCTGTGCTTGTCAAATGAATATTGTCAGACAGCATCACAGGGTGCCAGAATTTGTACAGCACTGCACCTTGGTGGTGTCATAGGAAACAGTGGGCAGTGCTGCAGCTCCTCCTCAGGCCGGTGTGGACAAGAGGAAAGATGGGAATCCTCCTTCCCCTGGCTGGGTAAAGTAATCCCACATGATGCACCACACCAGGATTCCTGTTCCCAGCCACAGCCTCAGCGGTTTCCTGGCTCCCTCCTGTTACAGCCTTATCGCTCTCCTCTCTTCTACCACACACTTGGAATGATTCATCAGATTGCAAGATAGAACCAGAGAGGACTTTTCCTCAAGGAATAACATTCGTGACAAGAAGGCATAATATGTTAGCTTAAGCAGAAAAGGAAATGCACTCTCCAGGTGAGGTTCCTAAGAGCTGGAGTGGGGAGCCCTTCCCTCCCTAAAGCTAATCTCCCTGCTGTGCCTTCCAAGTACTAATTTGCAGCCCTCCTCACAGAACCAGTTTAAGGGAGGGGAAGAGATAAATCAAAGTTAACCTCTTGATTGCCAGGGAACAGGCAGTGCACCCCCACTTTCTCATGCCTGTCTGTGCATCTGAAGTTTTCAACATGATTCCTATGACAGATTTTCCATCAAAATACATGGTTTTGCAATGATGCTTTTGAAGCTATACTTTAATTAAGAAAAGTAAGTAAATGTTAAAAGATGTGTATCCTGAACAGCTATCATGTTTATATTTTTTCCTGGCATATTTTTTTTCCATTATGGATTAAATATACATTCTTAGTACTTAGAGAGGAAATTGGAAACTGAACAGAAACCAGCAATGTGACTGGCTAAAAAGAATGTCTGTATCATTATTTTGTATTTCCAAAGTTATCACTACATAGACTATTTGAATGACATTTGCTTTAGCCAAGGAAAAAATGCCTGCAACCAAAAAATATAAAATAACTTTCTCATTTGATTGACTTGCAGAACAGAATCATGCCCTTAGGCTGTAATTTCTTTGCAGTTTCACAAAGATTTCAATTATTTTTTCTTTAATCAACATACATACTTCAGTCTCATTATGGCCCCTATTCATAGAAGTGTGATGTTAACTCATTATTTTCAGATCTGTACTAAGGAAAAAAAGGGGAAAAAGAGACTATCTAAGAAATACTCTTCACAAACCAAAAGTTTTGCAAATAACAATCACAGTTACTTCATAAATTATTACAAATTGAATTGCTTTAAAAGAAGGTAGACGTTACAAAGAAGAGTGACAAGTATTTTTTGCTTGGCCAACAGTATTAAATCCGTCAGGAATATCCAGCATTTTTTAACCTAACTTTATAAGAACATAACTGTTATTCTGAAACCCTTTGTTATGAAAGTTTTGTTGGTTTTAATGTACAGAAACCATTAGAGAGAGGTCTATATAGCATGAGACCAACCTCGAGCTAATAATGCCTGTTGTATAAGCATGCTTTATCCTAGGAAGGTCTCTTACTGTTGTTAGCACACTCACTTAACAGTTTATCAGCTCCTCCAACAAACAAAATACACCCCAAGTAAAACCTTCCCCCTTTTGTTCTTGTGCTACAGTCACCAGGTACAATATTTGCTCTCCAAAATGGAATCTCCAGGGCCCTGTGTTGAACAGTGTCTTCCCACCCCCTCCTCCTCCTTGCCCCTTGTTGCTTGGTTCACAGGAACTCCAACAATCAAGACTTATATGTCTCTTGAAAAAGAGAGATAAGGAAATCCACCTGCAAACCATGAAGTTCAGTCACTTGTTTGGTCAAAATGACAGGCAACAGAAATATGACCTTCAAGATTAGAACTCTGAAACTGCAATTAACTATGTAGGACACAGGAAAACATTTCCCTGCAAGCCATTTAGCAGAATACAACATTAACTTCAAATTCTCACATAACTAAAGAATATTTTTATTATATGCATTTCTGTATGTATTCTAAAACTGTATTAAAAAATCTGTTAGTATGGGCAAGGAAATCAAAGGGAAATGGGACTAATATAACAACAGGCATGTAGGTCAAAAATGGTCAAGGCAGAGAGGAATCCAGACTTGCCTTCCATGGTGAAGTGACAAACCTGCTGCCTGCCTGTATTTTGGGAATATGACTTAACTGAAAAGATGCCAGGATAGAAAAATAAAATAAAATAAAATAAAATAAAATAAAATAAAATAAAATAAAATAAAATAAAATAAAATAAAATAAAATAAAATAGTAATAAAAAATATAATGTTATCTGTAACTTCAGAAAGGTTATTCTCACTGGCATAAATAATAAGAGAATCAAATGTCTGGGATTTCCTTCTGTTGGCTGTTCAGAAATACAGTAATTTGAAACACAGTTGATCAAAAAAATGTGTATGGATTGCAGCCTGCAGAGAAGGGGCAAGAAGCCTCTTTGGTTTTTAGAAAATGTTCTACAAATATGTAAAAAGGCAAAATTTTTTCATCTGTATTCCACAACTCCTAAATTGAATGTGGTCACTTAAAGATAGAGAAACATTTTTCAGACAGAAAATGGTCAACTTGAAAACACTTGTAATATTTAACCATAATATTCAAGTGTCTTGTAAGACCTCCAAGAACCAGAAAAATAAAATAAAAATCACGTGGAGGGAGGAGGAAGAGAAGGGAGAGGGTGCTCATGCAGGCAAGCAATATAGTGCAGAAAAGATGGAAACATTTCTTTAGGGACTAGTTACAACCAACAAGCCTTCTTAGACATGCTCATCGACCATGTAAGCATATTCCTTGTGCTGGGCTGATAAAGGAGGGCTGCAGCAGCTTTTTCCTTGTCTTCAATAAGAGTACACAACATTTAGAAAATAATCTGCAGGGGAAGAGCTGTGGCACAAATAATATTTATAAGGCAATCCTTTTTAATGGAAGAAATTTCAGAGTCCTCCTCATCTCACAGTCCAATCAAGAGTGATATGCATTCAAAAAGTGGATATTAAATATGCACTGAGCAAACAGAACAGGAAAAAATGAATATTGAAATAATTTACATGTAATCAAACTACACTGAAATTAAGTTTTAATTGTTCAGTATTCCATGATGCATATGCAGATTTTAAAGTATTCAGAATATCAATCAAGTGTTTACTTACATCAAGCAATTGTATTTAAGCATACAAAACAGATGATGAAAATATGTTCAATCAGCTACAGCTCCCAACATTTACTGCTGGGCTTACATGATCACTTTTAATTCAGTTATTTCATTTAATATTTCAATTTAATAGCTCATTCTTTCATTCAATTTCTAGGCATCTTGCCCATTTCTTAAACACAATAATAATAATTATTCATAAAAGGAGCTGTTTCCTCATAAATTCTCATATCAGCAATTTTTGGAACAGAAATGATTTTCATGCTTTTTTCCCCCTCAAAATATGTTGTTATTATCTGAAATATTTTCCTTTTAAATTAGACAATATTAAAAAAAAGAATAACATCTGCAAAATGACTCTGAACCCCATTCTTTTGGAATTCCAAGCCAGAATAATTAAAGATTATCAGGTTAAAGAACCTAAAAAATGCGTGGCTGGGTTGCTAAGTGGTTGATTTAAATGGGGACAGATTAGTTTTTCACCAACTGTTGAACACAACACCACTGATTTAGGCATGTAACTTTATGTCAGCTTCAGAGCCTATTTACAAAACCAGGGCTAAAAGGACTTCTATATTTCACAGGAAAAATTCTCATGTGTAATGGTCCTTAAAATGACAACCTAGAAATTCTATCGAGCTCCAATGAGATACTTTAATGTAAATTCTCAGTAAATTCTGAAGACTTAGATTGCTGTGTAATCCATTATACATAAAGCATAGTATTAGTCAAAGGTTTATATCCTGCATTTTATATTGAAGGCTGAAAAAGTAGTACTTAAGAGTTCCTGGAGAGGAATAAATATATCAAGATCTCATATTTTTTAAAAAAAAACCCAGATAAACAATGAAAGAAACTCACTGTAAGCAAAAGTCAACCAAAATCCGAAATGGTTTTACCCTAATGAGTTCAGTAGGATGCCCTATTTTAAATAAGGTGGTTGTAGAAAACTGAAAGCAGCCTGAAGACCGGGACCTCTCCAAAGAACCTATTTTGTGCTTCCTCCTACACAGGCTCAGCCCAGTAACTCTTCCTGTTCCCAAAAGTAGCCTGCCAGAACATCCTCCAGACAACACTGTCCTCCTCCCAGCAGGGCACCCACGGCCCCCTCCCACCCGAGGTTTGAACAAGAGGCCATGTGGACCACGCTCGGTGTTCTTGATTGGCAGAACTTCTATCTGCTGAACTTTC